CGGTTGCGAAATCATTATGATACCAAAGCCGTCTACGATTTGCTTATTCTTTGCTCGCTATCTGTGAGCTCTGTTTTCTTGACAAAAACTTTGCATGCGAAATTAAAAACAACGATGTCCTACAATTAAAAAAACTTATATATTCTTTTGTACCGTTGTCAACAAACTAACTTTATTTTTTCTTTGAAATGTACATTTTTGAGGAGAACAGCAATCAAATATACAACACCTTTGTTAATATCTCATTACATTAGTCGATCGCTATTCGCTTTTCGAATGTGCCAGTTTTTTTGAATTATGCTAGTTGTGAGTTCGTTTTATGGATTCTTATTATGTTATTCAAATAAATTTTTAGAGTAAAGCAATATCGGTTCGGCACCGCTAACATATGAAATGTCGTGATTTAATTTAGCAAATACAATCGCTTATATGTGCAAATCATACAAAATATATAACCATAATAACAGTAATTTCAAATATCAGAGTAATTTTGTAATTTAAACAGTATTTGTATTTTGATTTATAATCATTTTGTTCTCAAATACACAGTTATTAGTTTATACCCTGAACAGGCTATGTTAAATCTCCCACGAAACTTGTAATGCCCAGAAGGATATGTCGTGATGTGCTGAGTGGATTTAGCCATGGCTGTCTGTCGGACCGTCTATCGGTCCCTTGTAGGGAAAACTTATTTATTTGGCAAAACATCTTCACGAAATATGACATGAATTGTTGTCCAAGGTATCGGTATAATTTCCGGACTACTATAGCATATACCATACAAACTGACCGATCAAAATCAAGTTCTTGTGTGGAATCTTTTGTATTTGCGAAGGGTATTATAGCTTCGGTGCAACCGAAGTTAACTTTTTTTCTTATTATTTTTATATACATACATACTGTACGTATACACATGCATATGTACCACAGCTAGGTATTGTCAATACCAAGCTCGAGCTGCGAAAATTAAACTTCATGACTGACTGAATCTTGAAGTGCCAATTGCTATAATAAATGCTAATTAATTTTTTCGAGATCATATTTTGCGCGTACGAACAATTTGCGCTGTATATATGTCCACATCTACATTATGTAAATAATAATTACGGCTACATTTTTTACCTTTGTGTCAGATCAAAACGTCAAGATAAATAATTTATATAGCAGCAAAATTACTAGTTAATAGTCTGACTCACGACGTACGTCAACTTTGTAGAAATGGTTTACTGTGGTCATAAATAGAGCATATCTGGTTTAGGAGCATATAGAAGTCGCTTCTGCACATATGTACTTAATTAGTAATGACAATGTGCGTTTTCCTAGAAATAGACGAATATGAGAGTATATTTATATTTACGTATATGCAAACATGTAACGGTTAAAAAACTAATTTTTTTTTATACGACTTACTTTCCAGTAGTAAGTTATTGTAGACAACGTTAAGAAAGTAAGTTATTTCTTTCTCTTTCTACCAGTCGGTCTAAACTATCTACCCAAGGATACTTCCCGATTCGATTGGAATTAGAAAAAATTATTGTTAATTAAAAACATCACTTTTTACTATTAGATCAATTAAGTACGAGATAGATGAATGCGGAAAACGGTAATGTTTCTGATTTTCTTTCAAGCCAATAAAACGGCGATTTTCTGCTATTTTTCGATTATCGATTAAAGTATATTTCTCATGTTTTGTAGAATAGATTCCAATAACTTGTTGTTACACTGATTATTAAAATAATTATTTTTAGGAAAATTGGGATATCTACCATTTCCTACTTTGAAAATTAATTGGTATAAACACAATAAGTCTATAAACCAACAAAGGGGAGCACTGCTTAATTTGTAATTCGCTTGTACTTTCGCTATAATTTATAATAATTCGACCTTGAAAATTTCCAGCTTACGCCTCTTATTCATAATGAAAACATACTTTCTATATAACACGTATATATGACAGAATTTTCCGATGAACTTTTGATTTCTATAGACCTTTACAAACTAGAATACGGGAATGTGGTTCTGACATTATTATATTTAATTGCATATAAAATATTTTAATAATATCCAAAATATAGGAAAATGATATATGGCGCATTCATACATACCTCTTTACACTTTCTGAAAGTAGATTTCGAATTTCAACGATTATCAATTGTGTTCCCACCACAATTAGAGAACGATATTAACCTTTTATGACCTGCAAATTGCGCCAAATTCATAGTTGCACTCAAACAAAGCTGGGAATTATCTAATATAACTTGCGCAAAAAATTAGTCGCACAATGAAATTAAAATTAACATTGTAATTAATCATCCCAATTAAAGGTTATTGCGTCTTTTTGTACATCAAATAAATAAAAGTGCCTCGCACAGTAACAAAAACAGAATATTTAATATAATAATAAAAATATTTGAAGGAAATATAAAAATATATTTTATATACAGCATAAAGCAGACCTAGTGTGACTGCCTAAAGCAGGGGATTTCTGGGAATTTGTTAATAAAAAAATACTGCCTGAAAATGCAAAGTTTTGCGAGTTATTTGCTATTTCTCTAATAACTAAAAAGCAAGAAGAAAAATTTAACTTCGGCTGCACAGAAGCTATAATAGTCTTCACAAATACAAAACGTTCTATACAAGAACTTGATTTTGATCCATCATTTTGTATGGCAGTTATATGTGAATTGATCTCAACAATATCTTCGGAGATTGTATCTTTGCCTTAACCAATAAACTATGCCAAGTTTGGTAAAGATATCTCGTTAAATATAAAAACTTTCCATACTAGCACTTGATAACAATGGTTTAGTTTGTATGTAAGCTATGGTATATTCTATAGTCGTCTGATATCGGCAGTTCCGACAAATGAGCTACTTCTTTGGGAGAAAATTTCAGATCGATGGCTCAAAACCTAAAGGACTAGTTCACTTGTATACAGGCAGACGGAAATGGCTAAATCGACTAAGTTCGTCACGCCGATCATTTATATATACTTTGTAGGGTCTCTGACATTTCCTTCATATCTCAGAGATTGTGGTCTTCACCGTAGTTGAAAACAAAAACGCTAAAATGGATTATTAATCTGTAAGGTATTGGCCTTTATAATCACCCACCATGGTTAGGTACAATTTAAATTTTAGTTAAATTTAGTTTTGTGTAGTTTAGGAACGCGTTTAAAGTTAAACTGGTAGAGCTGGTTAAACTGAGCATATTAAAAAATATTTATTTATTTAAAATGTTTAAATATATGAGTATGATTAAAGGTTAAATATCAAAATATGGAAAAATAATAATTGTTACTATTCTACACTAATCTTATGTGGGTTTGCTTGTCAAATACGAGTCTACCAACTGGCCAACTGATATGCTTTACTCACGTTAACCATATTTTTTAATATACTTTTACACCGATTCATAAGAGATAAATTTAAGGCGCCATTTGTTGAATTCAGACTAGAAGGCTCATAAAAAACTGTCGTAAACAACAAAACTTTTATTTTTACGGGAGCAATTTTAAGTGACCACAGATGTTGTTTCACGCGATCAATGGCAGCACACCCATATGTATATGCACTTGTACATATATACTTGTATATACTTAAACAGTTTCAAACACACATTTAAACTTACAAAAGCGCATTTGCAGCTAACTTTGATGCGTGATCTCAGAGTGTATGCGGTAATTACAGAGGCAAGAATATGTGAATAAGTAATAAATGCTTATTATATAATGTAGAATATAAGCTAATAGTTTAGTTGAAAGCGCCTATAGCTTTAACGTAAAAAAACTATTACAAAGCACTCTATCAACTATGATCGTTTTAAATATTGTATGTATTTTTTTAATTTCTTTGAAAGACTAAATGAAAAAGTAAAACGTCCTCTAAGCCGGCTTTTCCTCTGACTGCATTGAAGTTTTTTTATTCCATACGAGTAAGATGTTTAATTATGAATTCAATAAAGTTAAGAGCTGAAGAAAACTCATGACTGGTTATCAAAAAGCTTCTCGAAGAATCGGAATTTCTCTGACGTCACATAAAGCGGATAGTATTTAGAAAAAATTTAGTAAATAAATAAAATATATCAATATTATATAACAGCGATTAAGCAGAAAAATGTTGACATACTCGTATATTATAAGAAATATGTGAATACGCAACTCTTCTACTGAAGACTAAGAGAGCTATCAGATAGTTTATTTGATCATTAATGATAGTTTATCGGAACGTATAAATGCATTATCCACTTTTACCATTGGAAAGCCTGTGAAAATCAAATTTTCGCCTGTCTATAAAAACTCGAACTAGTCTCTCAGTTTTTGAGATTTTTAATCTGAAATTTTGCACACGTCGTTTTCTACCCAAAAAGCTCATTTGTCGGAACCTCCGACATCGGACCCCTATAGCATATACCTGCCATACAAACTACCATAAATGATGAGAATCAAGTGCTTGTAATTTTTTAATTTGATGAGATATATTCAAGAAATTTGGCATGGACTAGTATCCAAGACAGCGGTACAATTTCCCACAAAATTGTTCAGATCGGATCACTATAGTATATTTATAGCTGCTATGACAACTGGCCGAGCAAAATCAAGTTTTTGTTAAGAATATTTTTTAATTGTGAAGGGTATTAAAGCTTCGGTGCAACTGACATTGAAATTTTTTCTTGTGTTTTGCTTTGTTTGCAACAATAAGTAACTTTCAATGTGAACTTTACCTCGATAGTTATTAGCATCGACTATGCGATTGTACATACTTAAATAGCTTCCGATTATGAAGTAACGGATTGAATTTTAAACATACTCTATGCAAATTTGCACCTAATAACAAAGACAACTGATCCAGCCTAGTGCATTGGGTACGTGGCTCCCACTTGGTTGATCGTCGATTTATTTTGTCTGCAACTCGAAGAGCCCTTAAAATACGATCTATACAAGTTCAGATTTAAGCTGAAATCAATGTAAGCTGTAAACCCACTGACAATGAAACGAAATATTTTGTTAAATTGTTAAATGTATTATGTATGTATATGTGTAAGTAAAAAATTGCGATTTGTTCAAAGGCTTTAAAATTTCACAGATACATTTAGACGAATTTGAAGTTATTAATTACTTTGCCAATTATCGAATTTTGCGTTATGAGTCAACATAAGTTATTCTCTAGTTTGAATTTATCAACCTGTATTACCACGATCCACTCCACTGTAGAACATTCGAAAAGACGAGTAAATTTTGTGATACATTAAACATTTGGACGACATTGACGCAAGTGATCGACTGCTTGGCCCTTTGGGCATTCACGAGTCTGAAAGAGGAAACGATCGTCAATACTTAAAGGGATTTGAGGAATAGTGTCGGCTTGTTCACCTTTGCCAGCTGCGGATACTGGTGCTGCTAGAGCCGGATTGTTAGACGATGCGGCTGCTTCACCAGTCAACGGTGCTAAGGGCACCTTTTCAGTTGGAGCATTTGCCACTGGGAAGGGACTTGATGGGCCGTTTTCATTGTTGTCATCTGTCAATTTGTGCTTCAACTCGTCGTACTTTTGCGCCACTGTACTGCCGAACTCCTTAGCCGATGTACCGATCTTTTCTGCCCATGGTTTGGCGTTCTCCTGCAAATTTTCGGCACCTTTCTGTATTTTGCAGCCCAAATTCTTAAAGAAGTGTTTAACTTCACCGTCTTCATTGCTTTGTGCGGAATCATCACAGTCTGCATGCACATAGGCAAGACAGAGCGCGAATGCCAATATTGCGACAAGAGTTACTGACTTCATGTTGTTTTGGTATAGAAATTTATTAATATTTTATAAAATTTATTGTATACTTTTTATTACGGAAGATTTGACAAGTAAATTATTACTAACTTTCCTTTATCACGATTTGATGTGAGCAAAAGTCGCGGAACAACTGAATCTCGGCTTAGCAAGTAATAACTGTTCATAGCCGAAAGAAGTATAGTGTGAGCTTTTTACACAAATATTCGGGGGAGGAGTGTGTAAAATAATAAGTTGTCAAACCAGAGAACGTATATCATAATATACGTTTTCTGGTCAAACTAGTTTCTTTCATCATTCACAATAACCGGTATCATATGACGCTTCCCAATTCAGCGCCTAAAATTATGCAATACTTTGTCCAACACTATGTGAACATAATCATGACAGGTTGAAAACAATTGGAAAAAGAAAATTAAATTACAACAAGTAAGGTAGTTCTAAGTTCGGGTGTAACCGAACATTTAATACTCTCGCAACTTGCAAGGAACAAAACCCCAGAAATTATTATACTTTAGGGGCTGGCAAAATTTTATATTAAAGGAAGTATTGATCCGACTCATCCCATTTTTGACACAAAGCCATACTGATATCGATATCGATTTATTTTATTATTTGAATTTTATATATTTTACACATTGACCGATATTTTCGTTAAAAAGTCAACTATAGGCACTGAGGTCAACATATTCAGTACCTAGGGTCTTGAACAGTTTTGGATCGATTAATACAATTTTTGGTCACTCATTATTCACGCAAACTTTAACCCGATACGACCATTGTAGCTTGATTTGCATAGTGGAAAGTGAAAGAATCAGATGGAATTTAAAATGGTGTTATATGGGAAATAGGCGTGGTTGTAATCCGATTAGAAATATAAGAAGAATGTTATGTACCGAATTTGGTTGAAATCGGTACAGCAGATACCACGATATGGGTTTTCACCTTAAAGTGGGCGGTGCCATACCCATTGCCTAATTTTGAACGTGGTTCCTATAAAGCCAATTTATACCATCTCAGAGATAAAATTTAATGTCTCTGGAGTGTTTAGTGCTTGATTTATCGCGCTTTTATTAGTTTTTAACAGTACCGTTATAGGGGACGTGAGCGGAGTTGTCACCCGATTTCACCCATTTTCACACTGTCGATAGAAGTGCTAAAAACGTTAGTTTTCAGTGAATTTTGTTATTAAAGCTTTGGAGGTTTAGGAGATATGCACGTTAAACCTAATAAAGAGCGGACCACTCACACTTTTTAAAAAGCTTTTAAACTGCAGATGTCGCTCCCTAATGTGATCTTGTATACCAAATAATAGTCTTGTATCCTATTGTGGAGCTTAGTTATGGCAATTTATTTGTTTTTGATTAATGGCGTTTTGTCGGCGTGGCAGTGGGCTGATTACGCCCATCTACACTACCAACCGGCTTACCGTACCGAGAAACCAAGTTTCATAAAGATATATCAATTTTTACTCAAGTTACAGCTTGCACGGACGGACGGACGGACAGACAGTCACCCGGATTTCAACTCGTGTCTTCATCCTGATCATTTATGTATATATAACACTATATCTACCTCGATTAGTTTTAGGTGATATAAACAACCGTTAGGTGAACAAAACTATTGTACTCTGTAGCACCAGGTTGTGAGAGTATAAAAATAGAGCCCTAAGTTTTGTTAGAAATCGAGAAAAACCGGGTTTAACTCTCAAAAATGCAACCACCCTCCTTCTATTTCTCTTTCCGCCCTCAGATCGCCAGTAAATTATTATTCCTTTAATTTTTGTTATTTTACCTTTTCTTTCGAAGGGGTTTTATCCCACTAGGATTTTTTGTATGCCATGCCATGCTTACCCCTCAAAATACTAAACACCTTTGAACCAAAGTCGGTATTTAATATTTTCATTAAGTCCTGAGTTTCAAAATGTTTGAGATATATTACAAGAATGACGTGGTCACGTATAATAAGAATATTATAGGATACTTTAATTTATGAAATCTATCGACATTTACCAAAGCTTCTAAATACCCTATTTGTTCAGATATTTGCCCTTTCGTTTAATTTTAATGATAATTATAGTATATCGGTCAGTAAGAATAATAGACGTACGTTAAGATAGAGCGAATAATACAACCTAAAGTGACCTCAGTTTTGCTATTCTACAAGGCTAAGATAACATAATTGTATTACATAAATATTAGGAATATAAAAAGTTATTTTATTTAATGATGCATCATAAAAAGCCGAGAAAGGACAAAACACATCTAATTTTATTTAAACAGACTACAATTAAATTAATGCCTATAACAATTACATAAGCATCAAACCTTATTGAAAAATTTTTCTGTTGTTTATGACTTGACGCTAGAAAAATCAAAATAAAAATAGAGAATCAATTCAATGACAATCAACTATAAATATAATCTAACCTAAGCTGATGATCTGCCTGTAATTCTCCTTTGAAGTAATCATTATAAATTGGATGTTCCGGTAAACATTTAATTAAAAGTACTAGCGTGATGTCTTGTACTTCTATCTAAATATCACAGGTTTTTATACACTTCTTTGCAATAATTATAAACTGTGAAGATAATAGGTAGACTAGGCCGAAGGAATGTAAAAATGTTTGAACTGACCTAGAACGTACATAAAGCTCAAATATGTATGTGAAACTATGTTCAAGGCATTCAATTAGCTGAGGCAATCAACTAGTGGTGTTTGAGGCTCAGATACCAATTTACTTTAAATAATTTTTAATTGTGAGATAAACAAATATAAGCTGTCTTCAATTCTCCATTTCATTGCTCATTATCTCGAATCGACTTCTACTAATAATATAGGTATATGTTGAAAATATCTAAAGTTCAATTTAGTTTTCTTTTATTTATTTAAATTTATTTGACGCCGTGCCTTCTATGTAGATGGTTAGACTAGTCCGGAGTCCGGATAAAACAAAATAAAAACAAGAAAAAACGTTAACTTCGACTTCACCGAAGCTATAATAACCTTCACAAATACAAAAGATTTCTTACAATAACTTAAATCGGTCAGTTTGTATAGCACAAAACGTAGACAATAATCCATGCAAAATTTCTTGAAGATATCTCGTCAAATAAAACGGTTTTACATACAAGCGCTTGATTTCGATCGTTCAGTTTGCTATAGTGTTCCGATATCGGCGGTTCCGACAAATGAGCAACTTCTATCGACATCTAAGGACGTGTGAAAATTTTTAGGTCGATATCTTGAAAACTGAAGGAATAGTTCACGTATATACAGACGACCCAAATGACATGGATAAATCGACTCAGCTTGTCACACTGATCATTTATAGTTATATATACGTCTTCGACGTTTTCTTTTGGGTGTTGCAAACATTGTTTTATTTATTATACACTGTTCAGAGTACAATGAGGTCTTAATCCACATATAAAAGTATTTGAATAGATACTCCTTTCCATTTAGCTTCTTTCATTTTAATTCTTCGTATGTTACTATTGTAAGTACAATAATACATGCTTTACCTACTTACAAAAGCAATATTTTTTGTGGTTAAATTAAATATATATGCGTAATTGTTATAATATAAGTTCAAAGAAATACGTTCTCATTGCCAATTTTCCTTTGAAAGATTCTTGTGGGTCAAAGCAGCAGGTGGTCGAAAAATTGTGGAAAACTCAACAGAGGATGCATATGTACAATCAATTTGTCATGATATGTAGCGCTGATTAATGCTATTTCACCATCAATCTACCATAAATCAAAAGTTTATACGATACACATACATATACTCAGATTACTAACTTTTCAACGATTCGTATACTTCAACAAAATAAGAAAATTGTACTTTTTCTACTTCAATTAGCAAAATAATTCAGCACTAGAGATGCAAAACTATCGATAGTCAGACCATATCGATAGTTTAAAAAAATACTATCGTTAGTTTGCCCCTTGAAATCTACTTGTATATACTTTTCGCTGGTTTGAATTAAGAGATCTTGGCTTTGTACACTTAATTTTTAAGAAATAATCTTTGGATTTATTTATAAACCAAAACATGAATAATAACGAAAAAAACCAAAATTGATTAAAATTATTTTCTTTTGTATGCATTTTAGGCATTAGTCTCTGGGTGTAGGTATGAGTACCATATAAATATATATTGTGAAATTCAATCAGAACAGAATGTTTACATAAGTATGTAATATGTTTCAATTTCATAATTTTCTTCTCCAAAATTATTGGTACTAAATAAAATGGAGGTTTCTTTACAATTTTTAGCTATTGCATAGCTTCTATTGCGGGCTTGGGCGTGGGGACTGAATCAAGAAATTTCGTAACGGAAATAAACCTGATACGATCACAAAGTATGCGCTTGATGCTTGCATACTTGTAGGGGTATTTTCGCATATCTCAATTAAAGAGCAGGGTGGTAATAATATTTAATAAATAATATTTTTAATTGCAAATGAAAATATAGAATTCAATGAAAATTTAATTAATAAAAAATTAATTATTCAATATTCGGAGTCATATTATTAGTAGCCTTATTATTAATTTGGTAAATTGCTACCCCACCTTTTGGAACAGTATCTCGTTTGAATTGAACAATACAATTGAAATTAGGTATTTCAATCGAATTATCAATGGTAATACATTTCCACTTATCTTGGCTGGCGATTTCAACATCAACTTCGCTGATAAAATATCAGAGTGGTTGACAACTTTTCTTTCGGAAAAATTGAATTTGTAAATGAATAATGATCCACAAGAATCCACAAACAAATATGGGACCACCATTGACACGGTATTTTCCAGATATTGGGAGGATATGAATTCTCAAACTTATGTTTCTTATTTCAGTTACCATAAACCTATGGTTTCAATGATAATAATTCCTGAATAACCTACATGTATTGTAAGATAATACAAATATTTTAAACAATATCAACTTCTCATTTATTCAATAAAACTAAAAAAATTGTTTTCTGATCGAGCACTACGCTCAAAAAGTGTAACTTGAATGAATATCAAAGAAAAGACTTGAATTAATATCAAAGAAAAAACTTGAATTAATATCAAAGAAAAATAAAATACTGCATAAAAAATAAATAAATAAATATAATTGCATAAGTTGTTAAAAAAATGTTATGCAATAGCTTTACCGCGGCAGTCCCCGAGTGCCACACGTACTTATTTTATTAATGAATATCGTTATTAAATAGGAGATGAGTGAGATAATTACCCATTTTTATACCCTGAACATGGTATATTAAATTTGCAACGAATTTTGTAACACCTAGAAGGAAACGTGGACGACTCTATTAAATATGTGTATAGGTATTTTATATAAATGATCAGCATGATGAGATGAAGCGATTTAGACCTGTCCATCTATCTGTGTGTATACTGGTTCTTGTATGTAAAAGTTTTTATTTAATTAGATATCTTTGATATTTAGCATAGATTATTGCACAAGACAACGGTACAATCTCCGAAGAAATCGTGCAGAGAAATAATGCACCTTTAAAGGGTATTATAGCTTTGGGGCAGCCAAAGTCAACGTTCTTTCTTGTAGACCAGTGCTATTAGGATTCCATAACATTTCACTGAAATTGCTTTACTCATTTATGAGATTGATTATTAATTATAATAATATATAATCACATATGTCGGTTCCCAATATGATCTCCTATGACGAATTGGTTTTCGAGCGCAATTGAAAATCGCCTGTTACATAATGCATTGTGGAAACTCTTTTCTGGATGTTCTAGTTAAGTTCATGATATTTCCATTACCTACATAAGTATGTTGGGTACACGAGTAATGTGACAAGTTTCACCAAGTTATTTGTTGGAAAAACTTCGTGAAACGAATTTGTTGCGTGACTACTTTCATCTTTTGTAAAATGATATGACAGTTACGTAATGTTTATTTTTATTTTTTCTGCAAAAATGTGACAAGTAAATAATCAAATTTAGACAATAACAGAAGTTTTTAATGTTCGATATCAGTCAAATTATAAATTTATTTTCATGTTAACAATAATATTAAGTACTTGTTTTCCAAATACAGTTTTATTTTAAGAAAATAGCATTTTACATTGGACGTTTTAGCACACATAACACAAACAAACCACAATTTTATAAATTCATATATAACTAAGTGTCGTAGGAACATATTACAATACATTCTTCTAATTTTTTTTTTTAACTCAAAACCGGACCTATTAGTTTTTCTTCGCTGGTCTTATCGGTATTGTTCCTTCCCGTGGTTTGCTTTTCATCGGTATTGGCCTTGTTTCGAAAATTTTCGTCTCCGCAAAACTACTAAATTGCATGATTACAATTAAAACACAGATGGTGAGTAATTTCAAGTAGTGTTTGAAGAAGCGCATTTTTGAACCGCACGCTTTCAATAGAATTTCGCGTTAAACGCACGCTTTGCGCGGGTCTGCGTTAATATTTGTTATGAAAACTGGATTTTGTTGTAATTGATTCACGTATGCAAATGCATTAAATCGATTAATGGTGGCAGCGACCTGTTGTGAACGTTGTGGCTTTTCAAAGTGTACTGAATGTGATTCGCTCCAGACATTTAAGTTCTAGACTGACTGCATTTTGGTGATCACCGCAAGATAGCGAGTATGAAACGTGCGTAATATTATTTTGAAGTTAAACACAATAATTAATAACCGATTATACAAATAGCGAACACAAAACAGCTGCTATTCTAAGCCACTGTAAATCTATGAAGTAAGAACATGATGCTGTGGTTTAACTTAACTGTGGTTAAGTCAAATAAGTTCTATACTTATGTATATAGAGTGGATTTGAATATTAAAAAAGTTAAATATTTTGAAAATCAATTCCAGTTATTTAAAGATAAACATTGCTGGTAAACAATCAAAGAAAGCTTGACGTAATTGAAAGCTGCTTTAGGTCGAACTAATGGCGGGCAAAATAAGTACGACTTCCATATTCATATAATTTTACAAAGCAATTTTGGAAACAAAAAGTTTTAGAAAATTGTGTTAAAAACACCTTCAAATGAGATATGCATTAAGACCAGAAAGTTTCCAGAAATTGTTTTCTTTCGATATTCGCGGTTTGGTCATCAGGAATTCGTTCCAACGGGACCGACGATCAATAAAGAGTATTATTTGAGCGCTTTGGGACGTTTGCGCGAAAACATCCGTCGTAAACGCCCGGAATTGTGGACCAACATTTCATGGATTTTTTATGACGATAATGCGCCATCGCACCGAGCTGTATTTGTGAACGATTTTAAGACTAAAAACTCGTTCAGTACCATCGATCATCCACCGTCTTCACCGAATTTTCGCCCCATGCGACTTTTTTCTGTTTCCAAAACTTCAGTTACCACTCCGTGGAACTCGTTTCGACTCGATTGAGGCCGTAAAAGAAAATTCGCAGAGGGAACTGAAGGTGATCACGTACAGCGCCTTGAAGGCATGTTTCGATGATTGCAAAAAGAGGGGCATAAGTTTATCGCTTCAGAAAGAGCATATTTTGAAGGCGACAAAATAAATACAAGTATTGATGAAGATTAAACATTTTTCGTTTTATTTACTATTTCCGGTGTCTGTACAAGCTGTATATTGAGTAAAAATTGAGATATCTTGATGAAACTTGGTATATATGTTTTTGTGCGCCGTAAGACGGTTGGTATTGCAGATGGCCAATAAATTGCCATAACTAAGCTGCACAATAAGATACAAGACTTTTATTTGGTGCACCGGATCACAATAGGGAGGTCATCTGCAGTTAAAAATATTTCAAACAGCGGGCGTGGTTTCGCCACCTAATAGGTTTAATCCGCATATATAAACCGCTAAAGCTATTATAACAAAATTCACTGAGAACAAATGTGTTTGATACACATATATTATACCATTATACAATGGCATGAGATCACTTTATAAGTACCTTGTTTTAATATAAAGTTTTGCAACACATGAAGGAATCGCCTGGCCTTTGATTCTTGCGAATTGCGAGAATATAAAATGTTCATATTTTGGTTATTACAACTTTGGAGCCTTAAGAGATATACATATTAAATTTATTTGAGCCCACGTCCACTTTTTTAAAGAGTTTTAAACGCAGATGCCTTTCTCTAATATTATTCGTTAAACCAAATAACAGTCTTGTATTTTATTGTGGAGCTTGGTTATGGCAAATTATTGGTTTTTGATTAATGCCGTTTTGTGGGCGTGGCAGTGTTTCGATTACGCCCATCTGCAACACCAACCATCTTACGGCGCTCAAAAATATGTGTACCAAGTTTCATCAGGATATCGCAATTTTTACTCAAGATACAGCGTGCACAGGCGGACGCACAGATTTCAACTCGTCTCTTCATCCTAATCATTTATATATACACGTATATATATAACCCTATATCTAACTCGATTAGTTTTGAAGGATTCAAACAACCGTTAGGTGAACAGAAGTATTGTATTTTGTAGCAACATGTTGCAAGAGTATAAATATCGATAAATCTGTGAGACTATTATGAAAATTCAGAGAAAATACTTTTATGACAATAGTATGACTGTGTGTCACAATTGAGTTTAATCGCATCAATAATTTCCGTAGCTCTCATAAATATCAAATTGAAAAATTGTCAAACTTCCGGCAGGCTTTGTACTGCATATATCGGCAAATATGAGAGAGCATATTTTTTAATAACGGTTTTGGTAAAATTGATAAAACTGGGTGATAGCTCGATTTTCAAACATCTAGTTGACTTTAATAAGTGGTGGTATGTGAGGTATCTTAACGAAACTCAGAGAGCCTCTTTTTCTGTTAATAATATGTTAATAGATAAATTCGGGTCAATACTACCCCTATCTGCCATATACGTAATATAAGATTTCCGGTTGGCTTTATACCATATACTTATCTTGGTGAATATTTAAGATATCTTATGTCAAAATATGTATATACCTTTTTTGCCCCCAATATACTAATACTATAGGTATAATGATTTCTCACTTCCCACCAGTCTTTAATTCGTTTAGGTTGCACAAAAATGTGGTTTTGGGAGTCAAATGTTTTTTTTAATGCTGAATATAAATTGTACCGGTCAAGAACGTGGTTTAAACCGCATATATCTAATATAACTATTTTCGATTTACCTAGGCCGATAAGACTTAGTGTAAAAATAAGACAGTGGACGTGGTACCGAACACCTTTAAGTGAAATCCTATACTTCAGGAACCACTCGAACAATTTCAATCATACATCGAATATGGTCAGGACCTATGTCTGGCTTTACACCAAAAATATCGGTCAATCTTTAACTAATATTAATGAAATTCAGAGAGCATGTTTTCCTGGCTGATAATGTGCTTTAGTAACAAAAATGGATATAATCGGATCTGTAGTTTCCGTAGACCCCACATTCCTAATATAAAAATTTTCGAACTTCCGGTTGACTTTATACTGTCAATATGTATATAATAATATATATTAAATGATAAATTAATGCACACATATTTAGAGCCGCACATTATAATGGCTTATTAGCCAATATGCTGGTTTATTATTTTATATTTATCACCTATGTATCTAAATGACACTTTCTCTTACACTAAAACAAAATGTATTAGTTACTTATGCTTTGAATGTTTTCAGATTGTATAAATGTTGCGAATGATTCTCTTATCCCTCTTATATATAAGAGTATGTATTCTCTCTAGTTAATAAGCTATTAGCTTGTCATCTTAATTATGATTGCGCAGACATACTCCATTTACATCCGCCACGAAGCCGTCGGGGCAAAGAGCGTTATCGTGCTCGAAAATTTCATTCTCTGCATCATCAACCGCACTCACAGCAGACATGGTTTCGGTCACAACTTCAGCAACAACAGCTTTCGCGGTTGTGGTCGGTATATCAGACATTTTATCATCTGTAGTAGAAGTGTGTAGAGGGCTTGTTGTTGATGACTGTTCATAACGTGTCGGCTTTAAACCACCGCTGCCGTTACCTACACCAATGAAACGATCAACAAAATTGCCGAGACCGCGTATAACACCTTCGCCAAACCGTTTAGCGGTCTCTTCCAGTCGCTTGGCTTCCTTTTCTATTTCGACAACCCAAGGTTTGGCCTTCTCCAGTGTATCCTGTACCGTCTGCAAAAATTGTGTGACCTGACTTTGGCCGTGGTGACTGCCATTAGTGGAATCGATGTTCGAATCAGTAAGGTTTAGCAGAGCAGCGTCAATCTCCATGGCGTCACCTGCTTTACGCTGCAGTTCGTTGACTTTTCCGCTTTGTGTATTGTTTAATGATGATTCATCGATACAAATTACAGCGGCAGTTGTCAGTGTGACAACGCAGCCGAATAGCGTAAAAGCTTGCAATACGGAAGCTTCAAGAAATTTCATTTTTTCTGGAACACGAAAACCACCAGCTAAACGTTAGGATTGCAATAGTCGTTTGTGTTGACAACTAATGTGTATATATTCGTATGAAGATAGGTGCGATTAAGCGTTACCGAAGCGCGATACCCGTAGTGTTTGGTGTTCAAATCTTTACTAAAACTTGTTTTGAAGCGAATGCAATTGGTTGCCCAAGTTTTCTTAAGATACGCGTTCCACTTGTGTGCCTAGTTGAACAATGTATGTATATAGTTAGTTTAATTCATCTCTTCGTTATACACCTAAACGTAGGTGCATAGGTAATGCGCCACACGACTAGCTCAATGGGTTGAACGCTTTTTGTTCGCCACAGACACTGCCTCTACTCTTTTGACAGAGTGATTTTTGTCGGGGGACAATTTTATTTTGCTTATTATTTTTTTTATTTTTGGTAAAAGCTGCACTACTACTTTCGGTTCTTTCATTTTCCAGCGCATTTCTTACAAGTCGTCACCTCTTCGTTTACACGTACAGCTTTGTTTCACTGGTAAGGGCATCGGAAGAGCACACCTTTGGTATTTGGTCTTGTAATTGTTTTGAATTTGGCCTTTATATGTATGTATGTATGTATAAAGCTAATAGAGAAACCTGTTCGTCAAATAAATGGTCGTTTTTTTTATTAAAGCGAGTCTTGTTTATATATATTTTTTTAAGCCTTAAGCTGTTATGTGAGTTTTTGTTTTATCTTTCTTCTTAAGACCTTCTGTGCTTTCATTTTAAAATTCTTGACACATATTCGTTGCAGTTTTATTTCAGCTCCTACAATTTGTGGTGTGTTGGGACTGCCGCCACAATATTTTAGATTATAATTTAATAATCTCAAAGAATGCTAAGGAATTTTGCCGACTCAGTTCATACTACTTTAGTCGCATATATTTTTGGAAAATTTATAGAACTCCAAAAAAATTTAGAACTAAGTTTGAACGAATAGATATTTTTTTGTTTGTTTTTATTTTCGAGGAGGAAGCATTGAAACTTTAATCCGAACTAAACCTCCTACCGTCATGTACCGATCCCCACTGTAAAGTATTACGTCGGGAGGATGTTTGAACAACGCTCATACGTTTGTAATAGTCCGAATGCAATCAGTTACAAATTGTATTAACTAAACTCTCCTCTGTTGGTCTCTGATCCCGCTCCATGCAATGTCTGTCATCAAACTTTTCTCATATGCTTTAGTAGCTTTGGTATGCGTGTGTTTGGTCCGCGCTCAAGTGGTCCGTTTAGTTTTGGAGTTCTCTTCTCCGCTGCTGCTCCCGGGCTACTTAGGTTTTAATAATTTTTGGCGGCTATTTCGCACACCGCATTCCATTTCTCTCTTGATTCAATCATTTGATCTACTTCGTTTTCAGGTGTTGGGTCTATACCGAATGCACTTCTAAGGTACCGCCTCTCTTGCTCGTATTGCGGGCAATGGCACAACGCATGCTTTACATTCTCAATTGTCTCGCTTCCGAATTTATCGCATAATTTCATCGTTTTGGTGTTGGAAACGTTTCAAATATGCTTTGAAACAGCTATGTGCGGTGAGAATTTAAGTTAAGTAAAAATCTACTTCGCCGTGTGCTCTTTTTAGCCATGAGTCAATGTTGGGAATTAATTGGTCTTTGCCAAGTCTTCACTGTGTCTACTTACGCAATTTTTTTTACGGTTTCGTTTGATAAGGCCGATACAGATCTAATGAGTGTAAGCCCGCTTTTACAAGGATGGATAAATGGAAAAAAATCAACTCGCCAGAATTTTATTGCGAGTGGAGTCTTCTCCTACTTTACTTTGGTCCACGTGTATTAAATATCATTCGGGTTTAAGCTCGACTTGTTGTTGAAGTTTTTTCACAGGTGTATATCAAGTGTTCTATAAAGGATATTCTTGCATCAAGAACAATATACCTAAATATGTAAGGGATGGTAGTGTGGTTGTACTAATACCTTTTAGCATACCTGAATGTAGCAGTCTCGCGGGTTTTCTTACTTATTACGGCTTCCGTTTTGCTCTCTGCTAGGGAACGAATAGATGTAGCTACAATTAAACACGTCCAACAGTTCAAAGAAAAGTGATGGATGGATAATTAATAATTCATTATTATTATTATTAAATACAAATATACACTAAATTTGGTATTTCTATTCGTTAAAATTTAATTCTAAATTATTATGTACGTATGTTCGAGTAAGCATATATTGCATTTGTCTGGTTAGATTTCATTTTGATTACAAAAATTTGTAATACATACTTGCTGATACCAGAAAAATGAGTTGATGAGTTATGTTAAATTTCATACAGACCATATGATCACCTAAAACGAGGGATCCAGTGGAACCCAAAAATAAGATTCATCCCGACAGGTGATATTACAAAGATATTAGTGTTCCACTCTCACGAGTCAATAGAAACGGCAGCGAAATTGCATGCATTGGAATTTAAATTACAACAACTTTGTCTTGTCCTAAAATCGCAAGAACATGCTCACTGGAGAGAAATTTAAAATTTAGCGACAATGACACGACGGTCAATTCACTATAAAATGGTATCGAAAAGTTGGACACAAGTTGCGTTATTTTGCGCTTAAAATTAATTTGCTGTATACAGCTAAAAGCTTGCATATGAAATATACTTGTATGTATATGGTATATGAACTACTGAAAGCTAAAATGTTTACATTTAAGTGAGCTAATTTTATATAATGTTCACAATATTTACTTACCATATTTAGTTTTTTAAAATAATTTTTCTGTTTTAATGCTCTCTGATTTTTATCTTTATTTGGTTTGAGTATATGTACATATGTAAGTATATGTATTGTTTACGATGATAACATTGGCTGTTTTCAGTATTCCATGAAATATGTACATGCATACATACTAAATACAGATCTTATACCAAAAATATATACATATAGTTTTGAGTTTTCCAAATACAAATCGTTCATCTGATACTAAGAATCTGCAACAATATATGCAAATGTTTGCAAATATTTCTGTGACTCAGACTACACATTAAACGTATTTCTTATAGTTTTATGGAACTTCTGTATAAAGTTTATCTATATATTAAACTACAAATTATTTTAGTAGTGCTTTAAATTTTATAATTCTTTGGGATTAATCATCACTGCCTTAGAGTCAAATATGCGCACATGTTTTCACTTCTCACTTTCTCAATTTACTGCAGTTGCCCAAAGCGTCCAATATATGTCCATGGCCGCACTGTTGCTCAGCTTTGAGTATATCGGGATTTATCAGTTCCACATTGAGTAGCTTATGCACTGTAAGCTCCTCCGAAGAATCCTTTGAAAATTTATCCTTGATATCGCCAAGTTTATCTTTTATATCTGAACCCAGATCCTTTGCCTTCTCGCCAAACTTTTTGGCGCCCTCCTTCAGTTCAGTACCTATTTTCTTTGCCTGCTCGGAAACCTTTTCAGCACCCTTTTTGATTTGGCAACCGAAACTTTTGAAAAAATCGCGCACCTGATGCTCAGAGCTTTCCTCAGCACTGGACACTTTGGGTCCAATGATGGGTAGATCCGATAACGATGGTACGATTTTCTCATTGCAATCGAGTAAATCCCCTTGTGCCAAGGGAGCGCAGAGACAGAGTAATGCTGCTGCAAACACGTAAATTATATTTTTCATTTCAATTCTGTTTAATGTTTTGATCTGTCAATTAATTATGCACACTTTCACTATTTATTCTTTCGTGTTTTGCATAACAATAAAAGACGTTGCGCTCACGTTTGTGATCCACCAACGGGTACGCAATAACTGTGACTGATTCTGCCTTCAGACGACTACTACGGTTTATATTTAATTGACAATTTTCGAAAGAATTTATTTAATCAAACAATTACGCGCAAACAGCGCTGCGTCATGAGTAGATCGTATTAATGTAGCTACTTACGAGTACACATACACATATCTATTTACGGACACTTATACACCCGTTTTTGCGGTAATTTTATATATCTCAGTTTATATGCTCTTATGCTGATTGATGTGTATTTCGCATGAACGGTATCAAGAAAAACAAGTAATGAGAGTATGTATAAGCGGTAGAAGACACATATGAATGTATGTGTATGCCCTTATTTGAGATATTTATACGCCTTTTTTAGAACACAGAGCTTGACATTTGCGGAATGCGATTTGTTACTGCAAATCAATTGAGCGCAAGTTCAGCCGTAATAAATGCTGTAACTTGTTTCATATTAAGTAATAGAGCTTACACCTGGACACTTATACACATTTATATACAATATGTATCTGGGTATGTACTTTCGAATCAAGGCTTATATCAATTAAATTGGAATGAGTAATGTTATTATGCGGAACATCTTATTTATGAACGTTTTGATAATTTTGTAGACACATGCAGACATACGTATATACATACACATATATATTTACATATGTATATATATGCAAATAAATATTATATATGAGAATGAGTTGTTGGTGTAATGGGGTTATCCATTAGGTATACGTTGAATTGGAATAATTAATGATCTGCCTGATATGCCATTAAGGGGATTGCGACAAGAATCTGCGATTTGGAGGAACCTACTAAAAAAACACTATTCAGCGAATTTTGTCTGCAAATTGACATCATCTCAAAGGTCATACCTTTTGAAAGCTCCTTTATTTATAATTTAAACAAACTTTGAAACGTTAATTTGGTCGCACATTCCTTGCACAATAACAGGTGCAAGTAAAACAAACATAAAATAATTTTGGTAAGAGTTATTTTTAATTAGCTTTCTGTTTTTTATACTCTCTCGATATGCTGAATAAGGTGTAGTAATGCTTTAAGTTAACGGTTGGTTCTTAAACATAAAATAGTCAATACTTATAAGATTATACATACATACATACTTGTATGTATATATATCAAATCAATAAGAATGAATTTGGGAGACCGTGACGAATATTTAAATATACCTACTACATACCAGGTGTACCGTTTTGTTGTGAAAAGGAAAGCCTATTTTTGAACGGGAAAGTAAAAAAAAACTACTCGAAGTATTGACCATTGCTTTTTACATTTTTTGACCACCTCTCTGGCAATTTGTAGAAACAATGCCGATTTTGCTTTGTGTGCAGGTGCATTGTCATGCAACAAAATTACTTTGCTGTGTCTTTTGGCCAATTCTGGTCGTTTTTCGATCAATGCATGGTTTAAATTGATCATTTGTTGTCTGCAACGATTAGTATAAACAGTTTCACCAGGTTTTAAAAGCTCATGATATTCATCACCTTTCTGATCCCACCAAACAGAGAGCATTGCCTTCTTACCAAATTAATCTGTTTTTGCAGTCGATGTTGATGATTGTCCCGGATTAACCCATTATTTTTCCCGTTTAGGATTCTTAAAATAAATAAATTTTTCATCGCCAACAAAAATTCGATGCAAAACTTATTTTCTTTCGCGTCTTTGAAGCAAAATTTCACAAGTGTTTTTTCAGTTTTCCATTTGTCTTTCATTCAATTTATGTGGCAAAATCATTATCTCTGAAAAAAAAATTATGTCATCTTAACGCTCACTTCATACCGGTACACCTGGTATAGGACATCCTACATTTTTCCGGATGAATATTTTATTATTATTGTACAGTATATAGTAAATTAGGCCCGATAGAAGTTTGCTTAATAAAATTGGGTAACTTTAATATAATAAATATGACACGCTACCAATAAGGAATGAAATCGGCCTAAAGCTTTCCCTAGGCACACCGTAGACATATATGGATCGGTTAGATATTTTGATTAAAATTAGTAATCTTAACAAAATTCGATAAGAATATTTTGAATTGAATTGTTTGCACATTTTGATTTATCATCAAAACTGTATGATAAAATTCTATATACTTTCTTAGGGTGCATATGTACCGAATACCGTATTTTAATTTCAAGCCCGGCGCTTACTTTTATGAAAAAAGTAAAGTCATACCTGATTTCTGTTTCTATGAATTCGTGACCGGTAAATATTTGAACAAAATTTGGTAAGATTAATATTCTTCTATTCAAAATATGGAATCGCCTCGGCAAATTCGCTTATATTGTTGCTAAATTTCGTACCACTGAACATTCCCTTGAGGTCTGAGGACATGGAAAAGTAGCGTAAGGCCATATTTGCAGAAGGTGTAAGGTGAAACAGTAAGTCTTTTTCTTCATCCAATAGCACCATTTTTCTCGATTTAATCTTTCAAACGTTTCAGTAATGCCATAACTGATGGTTTTTCTATTTTCAAGACAGATTATGAAAATTATGACAAGCGTCTTGTAAAATATAGACCCCAAACTTTACGGTATTAGCTCAGTAGTTGCGTCTCTCCCCGCTTTGTTTCAGTTTATTCACGTGCAGTCCACTCAGATGGTTCTGAATTGCGCTTTGACATGAAATTTTATTTATTGTCACATATCGACGCAAAAATTCGAGTTTATAATGATTGAACAGCTTCAAACGGTGTTCAGAATCTCTTAATTTTTAATTACCTAAATTATTTCGGTTGCAGTGTATTAGTTCTAATTGCATGCTATTTCCTTCACAATAGTAGTAGAGAACAGCAACGAAAGCTGGAGTGTGCAATTTTAATGCATCAAACCTGTAACCACAGTGATTTTTATAACTACCATTTGTTGGAGAAGATCTATCCCTCAGCTTATCTTAGATAATCATAGACATTTCTTCTGAAACATTTTCATATTACGTTAATAAGTATTTTTGAGTACCAACAAACGTTGGGAGAGCAAGATATATAAAGCGAACCAATTGCGAATGGCAGACGGAGGTGCAAGACCGATGTACATATACTTGTATATGAATGTAGTTGCAAGAACTTGGTGTTGGATGAGTAAACTGCTAAGGTAATAAAGGAACTATGAGTGATTGATATCAAGCTAGTTCAATTGTATCTACAATGTTGTATATATTATATATAAATTAGTATATGAACCTTTATTATTATTATATTATTAACTTATCCCTTTCCTACAGAGATGCCTCTGCACAGTACAGGCTAAAAAATAGCAACCATCCATATCATTCTATATCTGCACACAAAAATAAAGTCTACTTTTAGGATGTAGTTAGAGACAATGTATTTCTCCTACATTAATGCTGATTTTAACTATACTAGCAAATAAAATCAAACAAAACGAATAGTATTAAATTTTCATTTATAAATTGATGGAGCTTTCGAGCATTTAAACCCATGTAGCTATTTATGCTACGAGCCGATGACGCCACTATCAGAAGAACATACTGTGGTGGATTGCATTCTCGTAAACGGCTACTGACAAAATTTCAGTCGAATCGGATGCGAATTTTTGTTTTGACCGGGACAAGAAACGGAATGTCTACGGAATTTAGAAAAATAAAAAAAGGGCAATGTCGCACTCTTGTTTTTGCAGGTTTGCAATCATATAGAGAAATCAAAGACCTTTGGTTAGCTGTATTGGCAGATCACCGATTGAAGGTGCTCGAGAAAACTGAGATAGTATCGCCATTTTTCCGAAGTTTTCGCTTTTCTTTGAAGTTGATTTTGATCGGTCAGTTTATATACTAGATATATGCTATAGTGGTCCTATATAACCTTCTTCGCATATTGTACCATTGGTAATTGGACAATAATCTGTGCTGAATTGTATGGTAGCTACTTGTATATGCTATGGTCGTGCGATATCGGCGGTTCTGACAATTGAACAGAGTATTGAGAAGAAAATACGTGTGGAAAGGTTTAGATCGATGTGCCATAAACTGAAGGACTAGTTCGAATATATACAGAGAGACGGACAGACAGCTTGTCGTGCTGATAGTTTATATATATTTTTTTTTATATGGTCTCTGATGTTTCCTCCTGGATATTACAAAAAGCCATCAGAAACATTATTTTTTAAGTTAAGCCTTTTCTGAACATCCTATAACATGTATATAATAATATGTGCCTATGTCTGACTTTAAATCGAAAATACCCGTCAAGTTGGAAAACTTCCTAATCAAAATATGTGAGTGCCTTAACTCTCTTATAATTATGCATTTTGGAGTTATGGTTGACTACTTCCCCAACCCTTAATAAACCTAATACAATAATATTCGTTATAGCGATTAATTTCATATCATATTTATCGGTCAACATGTAAAATATTTTAACGAATTAGGTGGCTAAGATTAAGATTTGGACATACTGTAGTTTGGTTTAAAAAGTGGGAAAATCGGTTCACAAATTACTTATTATCAAAGGATCCTAATGGGCTTTTAAAAAACTGCAATTATTTGAGTTGTACATTACATACTTACGTGGACGGCAAGCCAGGAAGGGAGAGGAACCACGTGACATTTAAAAGTGAAAAAGCTATGTAATTATTTTCCTTTTTGAGAAGAAACCACTGAAGTCAGTCAGAGTCACTCAGTCAGAAGCTAAAAAATTTATTTTAAAAAGGGAATATCTACTAAATACAACACGGAACAGACTTCAGAAATCTGTCATGAAACGCAGCAGTGCTGTCAACAAATTTTACCTTTAAAACAACACATTGAAAAAACATTGCATTGGACGCAGGAAAGCTTAAACCGTAATTACAATATTTACAGGTGAGTAAAGAAAAGGACAAAAATTTATTCAAAAAGGGTGTTAAGCACCCACAAAAGGTGCTTGATTAGAAGTTCTCTGCTCATAGATGGGGGTTTTTAAGTACTTCACAGAAAACTTAAACACCGTTAGAATGGTAACATTACATAAAAAGGATTTACTGAAGTCAGCTGAAATACTTTATAACAAAAAGAACCATAATTGGATACTGCCTGGAGATCGCTTCCTGTGGAATATGCGGACAATTTAGTTGCAAGTTGCCATTTATGATGTCAGGCTATAATAGACAACGCGGGGGTGGGAACATGTATTGAATAAACGTCAGCTATAAGAAAATAATAAATTTTCTATAATTACAACATTTTGCCAATAAACGCTACCCACACTTTGGAAAACTAAAACGTTAATTTTTTGACCGCACTGTATACATGTATGTATGTATCTCATAAAAATTTATGTTAGATAAACAAAAAGTTATTGTTTTCATATATAAATACAGTGTTATTTGGATACACAGATAAATCAATGCCACTTTGTGAAAACTCATCAAAATATCAATTTTAACTGGAAAGCAAATTCAAATAAATTGTGTTTGGAATAATTGTTTTTATGAGTTACTTCTAAACAAAGCAGAAATATACATAGGTATGCATACCAAATATATGTATGAACATTGTAAAAATAAATATAATACGTATGCCGCCCACCGCAAAAGACCGCTGCTCGCACAAACATGCCGCGCCGTTTTGAGAGAATTGCGCCAGCTAGCAAAAAGGTGTTGTGATTTTCTAAAATCTGAATGAGTGAAAGCGGTTTTGCAGAAATCGAGAAAATGTTTTCGAAATTTGAGCGTGACAGTGCGTTAAGTTTAGCGTGCGAGAACATCTGTATTTACGAATTTAATATTTTGTGTTTGACTTTGTTTTTGCAAATGGAAAATTGGCAGGAAAATCGCTCACATTAGTGGCATTCGCAGACCCTCGTGCCAGTGTGAAATTCTCCGCTGGGCACAGCTGTTCGGGTGTTTTGAGTTTAAAATTGCAGAAATTCGATTATTGAAAATCGGAGTGTCGCATAGACGATCACGACAGCGACGCGTTGTTGCGTCGCCGTTCAATTTAATTTGGTTTTTGTTTAATGTGATTGTTGGCTGGCGTCAGCCTTTTGCCTGTTGCTGTGCTAATAAAAAATATACATATTTTTTAAGTATGTGGTATATGTTAATTTGAAGAGATCGTACATAATATATTGCTATATTAGCATATATATATACTTATTGTTGACATACGTACATATATATTTACTGATTGCATACATTCTTGTATATCAAGCAGTGCGAAATCTTTTATTAATATATAGCTAGTGAAGTGTTGGTAAAAATCCTGAAAATAATGTATGCATATTTTATGAAAACACTGCTTTAATCACATAAAATGTGTATTTATATACACTTTATATATATTCTCAAGAAGTTTACTAAGAAGAAAAGTGTATATGGTATTTAAATAAACACAAATAAAATTCATAATATTTTAAAATGTGATCTAAGGACTAAAATATGACCTCCGAACTAAATGTGCGAAAAGGTACAAAAAAACTATATAAATATGTGTTCGTAAAAAGTTTCAAAGCCAAGTGGTAGGCATAGTCTACAAAGTTAATAGAAACAATAAAAATGCACTTAATATAATGACAATAACCACAACCAGTGCTTCTGACCCACTTATAAGACATTGTTATAAACATATATATGTACGTACATACACAAATTCAGAATATGCACATCAATAGCGCAATCGTGCGGGCAACATTTCAATTGATTGCCGTTGATATGTTGGTACTTGTCGATTCTGATATCGCACAGTGGGCGATATGCTTTAACGCAAGCGCTAAAAGTGAAACGAAATGAGAAAATAACAAGAAAACATTAACTTTGGCTGCACCGAAGCTATAATATCTTTTACATTCTCATTTATTATATCATAAAGGGAAACAAAAAGATATTTATCTTAATTACGATTGGTCAGTTTGTGTGGGTGCTATAGCCTATAGCGTTCCGCTCTGAACAATATATTCTGAGATTGTAGCGTTTGTATAAAAATATGTGTCACATTTCGTGGTGATATCCTGTCAAATAAAAAGGTTTTTTATATAAGAACCTAATTGTGATTGTTCAGTTTGTATGGCTACTATATTTTATAGTGGTTCGGTATGGGCGATTCCGTCAAATGACCAGATTTGTGGGGAGGAAAGGGCGTGTGATAAATTTCAAATCGATATCTCAAAAACTGAGGCGCTATTTTGCATATACAGACGCTGTATCACCATACATAAATACTTTGTAGTGTTCCGATGTATCCTTTCACGTGTTTTAAACTTAATGTACCCTGTTCAATATTTGATTGAAAGACCCAATTTAATTGAAAATTTGTTGAGAGGTCCGCTAAGAATTATATTTTCTTTAAATTAATCTTTTGAATGATATAAGGCAATTATTTTGATTGCAATTTCTTGGTTGCAAGATTTTTTAGAGCGAAATTTTTTTTAGTTTAATAACAACATACCATGCCTCACAGTGTGCCACCGGCGTCGCAGTCGATTGAAAATAAATTCGAGAACGGCGCACGCATTCTATAAATATACACGAAGTAATGCGGGGTATTGTGCGGGTGAAGTCAATGATTGAGACGACAAGAGCCAATGGTTTGCTTTTTAGATAAATAATATTTGAGAATAAAACGTGAGTGAAGCTGGCGGTCACAAGAAATATGTCTTTGTATATATACATACATAAATATCGAAATGGTTGAGCGAATTTTTGCCGATAATTACCTTAATTATGGTGAATATATAATAATAAATTATTATTTGTTATCTGCAATATTTTTGGCAATTAAGATAAACTACAAAAATCCATGCAAAATATCAAAATTGAACAAGAACAACATATCATTAAAGTGCAACAATCAAAATTATATACAACAGACACTACAAGAGCAGCTGATCAAGTGCACACGCATAAAATATTCAGTGTAAAAACCAAAATATTTCACAAATGAGGTATACACTTTCGAAATTCCGCATATAAATACTTTGATACGAATATTTCTCATATGCATGTATGTACCTATGTTATATACAAAAACATGTACAAGTATTAAACAATTAGATTTTTTGCTCATTTTTATTTGGCACTTAGCCAGCGGCTAAATGGTGATCTTCATCTTCAGCATTATCTGCAAAAGTATATTTAAATATATAAAAAATATTTTTCATGTTGGCGATATTATCGAATTTTTTTTTGTTTTCTTGTTTTTTTGGCGACAGTTGATGTACATAACGTTGGATGCTTCAACGTTAAGGCTGCTGTCACAGAAGGAAGAAGCATTGTAAGTGGTGAATAGCGTTCAAGTTAACAAAGCGCATCAGAAAGAAGTATAAATTAAATAAGAAAAAAATATAAATAAATAGAACAGGTGTGTCGCTGGTGCGCTTAATCTAATAGTCTGACTAAGAAATGTATGAAGGCAGTGAGCGACGTGCGCATACAAATAACATAATATATGAGCACACCTGTCAGAATATATAAATATCATTTGATGAGCGAAATCGACGAACAGCTGAAAAATTGTGATTTTCTTCGCTCTCCCTACCCGCCAGACCATAAAGCTCGCCGCTCTAAGCTTAGGTCACTCATACGCCTCATCACACGCGAACATAGTGTCCGATTTGTTTGTAGATATGCACCAGCGGTGCACAGCTGCAGCATTGGAAAGTGCAAAGCAACGAAAAAATATACAGTACAATAACAACAACAGCTACGGCCCCACTACATATAGCAGGAACAATGAAAGCACTAGAACACCTGATACACCTTATTCATCACAACATTCGACAATGACCGCTAATGTCAGCGCTAATGATGATTATGCTGATGCAGATGTTGACGAGGAGATCGCCAATGTTTTGAGCTTGAAACTGCGCAAACCGAAGCATTGGCGTTGGGAGCTAAGTACATCACGTTCATGTTCCAAAATCGCGCTGCCACGTATACTGCTCTACGATCACAAAGGTCAATTGTTGGTGGATGTAGACAGCCAAGAAGAGCAGTGCTATAGTCAGCCACAAACGACGACACCACAGAAAACAGCTGAAGCGACGACTATCGCTCAGCCACATACACGCAAGCGTGTCAACAAAGCCGCATCTACTAACTTGGCACAATCGATAAAACAAGCTTTGGATCGACAATTCAGTGGCTTGCAAATACAAGAGGCGACACCCTCTCCGGTACCTTCTAACAAGAACAGTGTCGTGACCACGCCGTCCACCGAACATGCCTCTACATTATCTTCAACTATTGACTTTTTCACCAATGAGCTGCCCGATTTCAAAATACAGCGTCGCGCTAATTCATTGAAGGGTGTACGTTTCAAAGTTACCGAAGTCTCAGATGCAAACCCGGATATAAATGGCAACGTTAAGAGCACGCAAAACTCATTCAATCTAGCCGATTTGCCCACGCCGCCTTCTACAACAACAACCCCTACCACGCCCAGTAACTCTTCATCGTCCGGTCCTCGCGAGAAGCGTCGTTACAAACGTTCGCAGAGTTCTGGCCGTTCACCTGCAACTTCTGAGTCGATATTGGAACGTTTTAGTTTCAATAAGGGGCGATTCTCTTCACCTGAATATGCCGAGGAACACGAAGTGTATCACACACCGCGCTATTTTTTGCGCACCAGCAAGGCAGGCACTCTAGTAGTGCAAGCGGAGAGCTTCAGCCGCTATCGACGGCGACGTCGGCTGCGTAACTCATCCACGGAAAATATACAGAGCAGTCAAGGAAGTGGCTCGAAAAGCTCACTCAAGATGTTGGGCAGCGGTGCTCATGAGCAAATGAATGCAATATCTGCAGAGCGTACATGCGGTAGCCTATTGAATGTGACGGAGCTAGGGCCACAGGTGGCACGAAGAAAGGTATTCCCTGTGCGTCGGTATCGTAGCGACGGTAATATATTGCTACAACAGCAGCCAATCAGCTCGGATGAGAATGAAGAGCGTGATCGAGAACAAGTAAAAGCGAAAGATTCAGTGATAGCTCAGCAACGGCAACGCAAATATCGCAATGATAGAAGGCATAGCAGAAAAGGTGAGAGAGTGTCTCTTTACATAAACATAATGTTTTATATTCTACTGGTAAATAAATTAGTTTTATTGCAATTGTAGATTTTTATTTTGTTTATCTTTTGAAAGAAAACTAATTTACATTTTTTACATGCTTAATTCTTACCAATCGCAGAATTTATTAGCATTGATCCAGAAAATGTTGTACAGCCTGGCGCTGCTGCCACGGGTTCAAGGTGATGGCTGCTATTTCCACGGGGCCAGTTGAGATCGTCTACCTCAACACTCTATACATACATACAAATATATAGTACATATGGACTGTAGCTTTAAATTTTGAATGTTTATGAATGTATGGAGTTATGTATTTATTTAAGTAAGCGCAAGCTAAAAATGTAAACATCATTATTTCTTTGTATGTATAAATAGTAAGCTTTTAAATTGTGATTGAATTAAATGTGAAGAAAACATAAAGACATTTTTTTAGCATTGTGCATAAAAGATGTCTGTCTGTCCGTTCGTCTCTCCATCTGTTTGTGCTACACCTAAAGAAAAAATTAAGATATCTGAACGCTACAATGTACACCTTTTGCCTGACAATCTAAGGAGATGCACAAAATCGGATCATTGGCGCGCTTATAAAACGGCCTTAATCGAAAATAAAGGGCTACAACTAGGTCACAAATTTAATTTAATCCGCCCGCTTTTAAAGAAATTTCGCAGAAACAGCGCGTTTAAAAACTTGTAGATTTATACTCCTTTTTTCTTTATTTCTAAATATATCAATATAAATGTTTCAGTGGATTGCGCTATTACAGTTTAGTGCAGAAATCGGTCCACATGTTCTCCTAACTCTCATACTACCAATTTATTTGCTTTCCTTCCAATACCTATAATTAATTTCATCCCTTTGTTTTGCTTTAGCTTATATCACATATACACGGTATAAGCGATATCTCAATTAAAATAGATCGCTTCACTTAGCATTGTAGGACTCTGTATTAAAAATTATGGATATCGGTATGTATTGGTGCACCTATTGATTATCACTAGCCCGTATATTCTTAACATAGGTGAGCAAAATAAGAGAAGTCTTTAAGGAAGGTAATGCTAAGTATATATAAATATTTACCAAATGTAACTTAAACCTGTTTATCCTTAGAGACTGTAGACGAGAGAGGTACAATCAGTGCTGAAGATCAGAGAGGACTTTAATTCATTCTTCTGACATGGAACAATTATTCACACCTTTTTCTGGCGAGAAACATGAGTATTGCCCAGGAATCGCATATTTTCTGGAAGTCATTTTCTAAAGAATACTATAACAACCCGCCGACCAAGTCAAATAGTTGGTACACATCAGATACCCAGAAACAGTCACCGCAGAACCTGTTCCGATGAAGGCCAAAACTGTCCTATTGCCCAGAAAGGTAGTGTTTAAGGTTTTCTGGGATTTATAAGGGTAAATTACTCACTGGCTCACACTGAATTACGCTACGAACTGCTGTCACATCTACATTATTCTTTAATTTGTTCCCGTGCGACTTCTGTTTGTTTCCAAACTTTCAAAAATTACTCGCCGGCCAGAAATTGGAGTTGAATGAGGCGGTCATCGACAGCACGGATTCCTACTTCACATATCTACAGAACAAGTATGTTGAATACGGGTTACAGAAATGGGACCATCATTGGGTCAATAGCATCGGAGACTATGTGGAGAAATAAAACGTCCTTTTTCCAGAATTTTCAATTTCCTTTTGTTGGCAAAGTATCGGACCGCTATGTCAAATGTAAAGAATTTATTTCACATTAAAATTTGCTTTCAGAAATTTTAAAATATATTTAAGAAATTATGACAGACACAAACTTCGGTTATGTAGGAATTATATCCTTCTTCTAATTATTTTAACATTCATATTTTTTTGATAATTTAATTTTTTTGTCACTGCAAACAACCATTACATCTTTATATACAGTTTTATTGAATTCTCTAAAGAAGCAATACAAAAAATGTGCTTCCGTTTCTTTCTTCACTATAAATACTTATTTATTTACAATATAACTGAGTCCCACATAATCATATATAATATATTAGCGGCACTCGGCCGAGTTTTAATTGAACTAACAGGATTTTCCTCATTCCCTTCGCTTCCCGGTGACTCCCCTCTTTTCGAACCGTCGTTGGAATTTGTTATTACTTGTTGCACCAGATGTTTTTTACCACAACTGAAGACCTGACGTATGCGACAGATAACAGAAAGATTACTAGCAGAAAAAAGTATAAAGTCAACGGGATATATTGACTGATATTTTCGGTAAACAGCAAGCTATAACTCATGTGATTCACTAATTTATTATTATAAGTGTTTGTGTAATTTCGCATGGTCAAGTACTTGTGTAATTTCAACCGTTGAAAGGAATTCTCTTATGATCAATATAAATAATACACCCAAAAATATTAACGTAATTAAAAAAAATCTTAAATTTGACTAAAAGCTGTAAAACAATTTGATATTGACCAAATAAAAGCTTTCCGTGATTAACAAACTCTTTTCAATGCCTCCGTTATTCAGTACTTTCTCTCTTTGTAATCATTTACATTTTTGATATCCCAGCAGACTTTACGCCGAAGATGTCGGTCAGTGCGCGAATTATATTTACAAAGTTGCGTGGAAACATGTTCTTGAGTATCCACTTCCCAAGCCTTGGAATAAAAATCAATGACACGCATCATTCTGATCAAAGTTTTTCTGTCCGTTTCTATGAACTTCATCAACAGTTGATAATAATAATACTTAGTGGGTAATATTTACTGGAAATATTTATGGGTTTGAGTCGATTTCTACTTTTAAAGTGAATAATATAATATAAAGAGTGTTTAAATAAGGAATAAAAATGGAAAGCAAACAAACTTTGGTATTTTCTCCGTCTATCGAGTTTTTCATTAAATAGTGCATCGTACTTTATTAACGATTTTAATTCGTCATATGTCATTGAAATTATGCCCCACATTTAAGGGGTTTATCAACTTTGTAGTTTTACGTCACAGTTGATTTCCACATATGATGTAACTTTACTATTAAATGTTGAAGAGTTATTTACCACAATACATTATTGCAGTAACTTACAGGATGCGGTTTGAAATGTTAACTTACATGCATATCTAAATAGGAACAAAGATTTATGCATTTTAGTATATAAGTGCGAACAGCGGAAGAAATCTTTAGTTAAAGATCAACTGTTATTTGGAAAGTTGTCTGAAAGTATTAAACTCGATCTTAGTTTTCTTTTTGGATACACTTGTACTAAGCATTTCTACAAAATGGAACTCTTCCAAAAATTTAGTATGCACTTTTTGCTGGTAATAATCCTGATGTCTTTCGAGTACGTTCAATGCTTGTCTCTGAGAAAAACGGCTCTAATGCAACAAGTGATAGCAGATCCCATCGAACTTTCAGAAAGAGGCGAAGCTCTGCAAATTGGAGTACGGGAACAAGAACTCGTTAACTCAATTAAAACTCGACTAAAAGCTGCTAATAGTTAGTCTGTGGGAAATATTTAGTTATAGTACGTTAAATATGAATTATTATGTAGATATATATTGTGATAATGAAATATTAAATAATAAATGAAGAAAGTGCAAGCGATAACTTGAGTAAAAATTTAGATATCTTGATGGAGCTTGTTACACGTGTTCCGTGGCACTCTGCGGCCTATTGTATTACGAATTTGGTGCTGAGGATCATATAATAGTAGGAAGGGGCATAAGTGGTTGAAAATGGTATATAAGTGGGAGTGTCTTCGCCTTCAAATATGTTTAATGTTTATATTGCATGTTTATAGTAAACTACTAAAGCGACATGCCAAACCATATTTCTTTTTTGGGATTTCAAGACACATAGTGAAAATGCATACATTAAATGTGTGATAACGACAGACGTTAGATATGCTAAACTTAATTGTTATTATTGTGTACCAAAATAGCAGCAAGCAGTATCAAAATTGGAAAATGGGCGTTTCTAGTAAAGTCGCCTATCTCAGCGACTACCAGTATAACAGCAACAATAATTTAAAAGCTTAATGTAATGGTCTTTATTTACTTCCGTTAAATAGTGTACTTAAGATTAGTTTTAAGCTATTACATATATAGATACATATATGCATATCGCTGTATGGAGTTTAACTCTTTATTATACGATATATATAGCTATTATAAAGCTATAAATTAACAATAGCTAAAGAACTAAACGCAACTCAGAGGCAGTTTCAAATCTCCTACCATTTATTTCTTTTGATACTTCTCTCAATTATGACCAAAAAATCTCTACTTTGCTTTTACGCGTTTGAACTAAAAACACAGATTCACCAACATTTGTTGTAACTACTAAAACATATTATTCTTCCTTAAGTTCGATGATACAACCCAAATCCATATTAAATAATTAAATACCTTTGTCATAATTATTATAATTAAGTTTGGAAGAGGTGGTTTTATTAATTTTAAAGCATATCATTTTATATTTATATAACTTACACGGAATCTTTTTAAATTACAATATATCTCATAGCGCTACACATTCTTACTATCACAATTTTAAATGTGATAGAATTTTATGATAATTACCTACAGGCTAACTATTAGCGGGATTCCAACCTGCTTTAATCGATTAATAAACAAGATCTTCTCCATGTTCTCCGTTGTTTAATGTAAACCCTCTTTTGAACCTTCGATTTGATCTGCTACTACTTGCTGCATCATATGGTTTTTTGACATAGGTGCAAACTGGACATGCGCAAAAGATATCAGAACAAGTATTAGGAGAAATTGTATATTCCATTTTCAAACAAATTTCATTTTGATGAATTGCAAAATGTAAATAAATGAATACGTTCTCGTTTAGTTGTTAATTCTTAACTGAACTTTAAGTCTTCGCCTTTAAGATGATCAGATTTATATGGTATACTTGCTTTAGCTAGTTGGTATAACTTTTATAAATCGAAATCTTAACCGCACGACTAAACGTTTTTATACATGTTATATAAACACTTTACACTTTACTTTACACTTTAAAAAACGTTGCGGTAGAAATACCCTTCAACAGTTGAGAATGAAATTTTGCTCTGTAAGGAACGTGTGACGTAAATGTATTATGCTGGGGTTTGCGCAAAGGCTTAATAACTATATATATATTAATAAAACGGATAATACACATTTTTTAAACGGTTCTTGAAGTACATTAGCCTATTAGTCACTAAAATATGGAAAATAAGCTTCACAATTTTTTGTTTAAGTATGATCTTATCTTACTTTTATGTGGAAATTTATCTTTTATGTATAATTGCTAAAAAGGTGCGTAAAAATGCTACAAGTTGTGGCTTGGCGACGGAGAATTTTTTTATTTTACAATTGATAAAAAATTTAAATCTGTACTTCATGAACATAGCCTCGATGGTCTTAATCATAAATTTTTAAC